TATGAATTGATCGACAAAGGAGTTCCAATTTTTCTAGATTCGATTTCCAAATTTGGTAATAATCCTGACTGTATTGGTTGTATTCAAATTAGTATCAATATTAAACAAAAAAAAAATTATTTTTTACCAATTATTCAATAAGAATTGAATTATATAAAATTAGATAATTGAGTACTGTTTTCAAATCAAAATTTGTTAAGGGATAGATTTTTATTGATTAAAAGTTATTCTGAGAATACATGGAATCAAGTCCTTTATATAATTGTCAAGACAGCTTTTCTATTTCCATGTGAATTCCCTCATTCATTGCAAAAACTTTACAATTCACTTCCTTTATGGGACACCTTTGATCCCTGAAATTCTGGTAATACCAATGTTCACTTTGTCTGGTTTTGTTGCAGCATGCCCCATTTAATCCATAATGGGCTTGTTATCTTACAGATTTGTGGATTATGTGGGCCAGTTGATGATAAATCATCAAATAAAATTTATGGGATTGTACCATATATTACACTCAAGAAAAAAGAAAACAAGAGAATCAGATATTTATAGTGTTGGCATGTTAATGTAGATGTTTGCAGGCCATCCATCATTTGATGACAGAGCTCATAATTTTCATTTACAATTAAACATATGTGAGAGTTTAAGACCACCAATATTGTTAAGAATGCTGATGATATGTAGAAGTGCTGGAATAGTAATTTATCCAAAAGACCAATTAATTATTGAGGAACTTCACAAATTTGCTGATAATAAATTAGTAGAGGAATTCTATAAACACGCAATTTTAAAAAGCAATGCTAATTCATTTAAAAGAACATTCAATTGATATTAAACAAAATAGTGATAATGTGATTTCATAACAAATATACATCATTCAAGTAAAGTTGCCGAAATATTGATCTTATCAAATGTGAATTTAATTTCATTATTTATGATTTTATTACTAATATTACTAATAATATTTTATTCTTTAACTGATTAATTAATATATTAGACTCTTCTAGTAATGGTAGCAAAAAAAAAAAATGTTGAAAGAATTGATGAATTTGGTGGAAATTTCAATCAACAATTAATTAAATTATCAAATTTGATTTTTATTTATATTTAATGCATTTTAATTTTTTTTTCAAATCAGGAAGTAAAAAAAATCAAGAAATGAAAGAAATGACAACAATTATATAATGAATAACCTTTCAAATGACACATGTATTATTTATATGTATCCATTAATTAATTGAATATGATAATAACTGTTAATAATATTGTTTTTTAGCAAATTACAAAGAAATATTACAAATGATTATTAAATTATTATATCATATATATATATATATATATATATATATGGATGTTTATAAAAGGTATCCTTTTTGCCAAATTATTTTCTATTTCATTTTTTATCTAGTGAAATTTTTTTCCAATCCTTGCCATTCCTCCATAT